CCGGTTGTCCGGTCACTTGCCTGCATGCCCGGCTGTGTGTCTTCTTCCACGCCCTGTCACGCACACACAGACACAGACACAGACACACACACACACATACACAGACAGACACACACACACACAGGCAGACACACACACACACAGACACACAGACACGCACATACACACAGACACACACACAGACACACACACACAGACACACACACACACGGACAGACACACACGGACACGAACACAGACACAGACAGACAGACAGACAGACACACACACACACACATACAGACACACACACAGACACACACACACACACACACAGATGAAGACATACATACACATGCACGCATGCGCGCACGCACACACACACACACAGACACACAGACACACACACAGACACACCCACACCCACACACCCACCCACACACACACACACATACACACACGCGCACACACACACACACACACACACACACACACACACACACACACACACACACACACACCGACACACACACACAGGGAAACAGTACCGGCAGAGCTCACATGGTGAGGACCAGGCTAAGTGTAAAAAGGACTCCATCATTGCCATAACTTCATCAGGGAGTGAAGCTTATGGCTAAGAAGGTGATATGATACTTTTTCCCACACTGCGTTCCTGAAAATGCGGGTAGTTTGTAGAAAATATGACCCTCCCCCCCCCCCCCCCCCCCCCATTGGGGTATAGTGAGAGCTGCGTAGTTTTACATGAAGCGTGAGTTTCGAAGTCGGAAGAAAATGTTGAAGAGTCGCTACCTGGATTACAGCTTCACCCAAGCTCACTGGTTGGAACATTCTTGACCTATAGCAAAGTCCGCTGGTTCGAGTCGGTTCATCATCATCTGCGTTGCCGAATAGTAAAATTTAAAAAATAAAAATAATAATAAACGGCATTATGCAGCTGTGTAAGCAGTAGATGCACAGTGAGTCGGTTGGTGACGGTCAATTTTTGCTTCAGATTGTTTTCTCTTTTCAGTTACCCAGACTTCTGAATACCCCAATCGGAATGATAGAGGGTGCTTACATTGCCCCTCAATGCTGCTAAAGAAATCCTATGTGTAGCGTGTAGGGAACGTTAGCTTGCGGTTCCCTTGTAGAGACCAAGTCATTGCTCGTTGTACGGCAGAGTTGGCAACGGTCTCTAACACCAATCGTAAGCGTTCAGGTGTGTACATAATGTGCATATCTGTGAGTGCATGTACTGTCGTGGACATGGAAATCCGGTCGGAGGTCGAGCGGCCCAGGGCGCTGGCCATGCCGCCGTGAGTACGCATGCGATCAACACGGGTACTGCATGCAACGTTCCGTATGCACGGAGGGTGCCGGTCCCGCGTCGTTCGACCGGATTTCCATGTCCACGACTGTACGTGTGCATTGTACTTGGCAACCTGCTCACCTTGTTGCCGCTGTCCGAACTGTAGGCACGATCCCTGGGGTGCTGTGCGTTGCGATCGAACGTGTCCAGTTGGCCGGGGCCCGCCGAGCCAAACACACTGCTACTGCTACTTGGCTTTCTGCCGGCCAAGCTGTCTCTCTCCGCGGCACTGCTCCGCCGGCCATCCGATATGCTAGTCACGGACAGCCTGGCGCCCATCGCAGCCAAGTCCTCTTCTGTCGGCGGAGGTGGAAACACGGAGTCCGGTGATGTTCCCAGTTTTCCGGACGTGATGCTTCCCGGGCTGACCGAGAACTTTGTGACCGAACGCCGTCCGGCGATGCTCATGCGTCGCGACGGTGGTCGATCAAACGCTCCGTTGGTCACCTTGGGCGACGCCGGCAGTGACTCCAGCGACATGTGCATGCCCACCGTGCTGTGCCCGCTGTTCAGTGAGGGGTGCAGACAGGGGGAAGTCCCCAGCGGTGTCGACTTGAGCGACCATCGCGATGCCGAGTTGGATGCGGCACCACCGGAGCAGCTTCCATGGCCAATGCTGTGAGTGGACGTGTGCAGCGGCAGCTGAAACGAGTTCTGCTTGAGCGACTGCGGATGAGATGACGGAAACTCGCATATATCGGAGTCGGTTAGGCAGTCGTCGCTGCGGGCGCGCATGCCGGAGTGATGAAATGCGGGGAATGAAGATGCTGCCGTTGCGCTGGTATCGTTAAGTGCATGTACTGGTGTCACCTGCCATATGCTGCTATTGCCCGTGGACGAACCGTCAATGCTGCGCGATCCGGGGATCAACAGACCGCCACCGCTGGGGGCAGTGGTGGTGGAGCATCGCCGCAGGTCGTCCTCGGGCGACGGATACTGTGCTGAACTGCTCAAGTGCTGGTGCTGGTGGTGCTGCTGCTCCGTTCCGTATGGTATGTGTGGTAGTGGTGCTGGCGAGCGGAACGTAGCGTATGCCGCCTCGTCGGGGATCTCGTCGATGATCTCCACCGAGCCCATTAGCCTGCTGCTCGGCTTGAGCGGACTGTGAGGCGCCGCTTGTAGAGGCATCGCGAGCTGGTCTTTCCTGAACGCGGTGGTGGGTGAGAATCGGGAGACAAGCGAGAACATGCACACGCGTGCACACGCACATGTACACACACACACACACACACACACACACACACACACACACACACACACACACACACACACACACACACACACAATGGTTGTCACTATTCATAGGAATGGACACCAGCACAACAAATCATCTGCATCTGTTATAATGGAGTACTATAAGTCTGCCAAAGGTATACTTGAAGTAGAAATTGAAAGCTTACTACTTTCTGCCTCATCTGCAGCTTAATACCCATGGTTGGTCTGAAAAAACCCCAACAACGTTTGATTTGTCATTTTGTATGCTACGGACTGCAGATGTGAGCTTTCTGTGTGCACATGAGAAGTTCGTTGTTACGTCATCAACAGCGACAGCAACTGAGATGTTAGATTCGAGTAAGGCTACAGTTGATAATAGTCTCCACACCTGTCGTTTCTTTGTTTATATTTATTTACTTCACCAAAAAAAACAGGGCCTTTTGATGCCTTCTCACCAGCTCTTACGGCCGCTTCTCTTAGGTTGATGAAACTAGTTTATAGTGGGTGGAACTAACCCTATGTCGTGTGCCGCGCCAAGCTCCTTCAGTCGCTTCGTTCTCTCAAACTCCAGCTCTTCCACCTGACTCTCCAGCTTGCAAAGGGCGGACGCGTGGTCGGGCAGATGCTCAGCAAGGGACTTCAGCTCCACCTGCGTGTACGGACCGAGCAGAGATACAGAGCAGAGGTACAGAGCAGGGATACAGAGCAGAGATATAGAGCAGAGATACAGAGCAGAGATATAGAGCAGAGGTACAGAGCAGAGGTACAGAGCAGAGGTACAGAGCAACACACCAACACATACAGTACGCGCGGAAAATGCATTTGTTCTTGCAGCTAGCCGTAGCTTTACATGTAGCTGTGCGCCTGTTGCGGAGTAGAAATATATCCCGTCTCCATGGGCAAATTGTTATGTTCTGCCCCCCTTGCGGGTTAACATGCATTCTCTAGTTGCATGCCTACATGCACACTCACAAGCAATCACAAACTCCCAAGTCCAAGTAGGTTCTTGGTTAGGTAGAACAACAGCATTCCAATGCACAATTCATACTATGATACGGTAGCAAACTGTGTAGTAGATATATAACAACTTGTACACACAGCAGCACCTGTTCGTAGCAACAAACCTACTGCTCGAACTGCTTCAAGAATATTTGGACCATGCACCCTCCCCTCCCCCCTCTCCCCACCAACCGCCTCAAAGGTGGACCAGCTCTGCCACTGAAGTTCACCATGGCTATGCTTGGTGACGATTGCGGCATGACCCGGCCACCTGACTTTTGTACTCTTGATCAAAGCCAGCTGCCCCCCCCCATCACCATGGTTACGCACAGTTTTGTACTACACTCACTTTTACAGCCACACACTTGAACTGTAATCGTCAGGGAAATCTCGCATAACAACTAAACTATCGTAATCCGACATCATCATTTTTCATTTTTCTCATATCTTTCCATACATATTCATATCGCAGATTACTCGTTTTTCGTAGGAATCGGAGAATCCTCTCTCCGGTGAGAAGGCAGTATTGCCCGTGCCCTGAGCGAATTGAAATAAAAGAATACAACAACAACACACCTTTCTGTTAACCCCCAGTTATTGTGTTTCCTGTTCGACCCTCTTAGAAGTTGCACATTGTACTGTTGAGGCAACGGACTAAAATGAATAAAAAACAAAACACACAAACAAACTCACCTTGACGGCCAGCAGGGTGTAGCCAATACTGAGCAGTTGGTGATCGACGAGCTCCAGGTGTCTGCCGTTGGTGGCCGGCAGGAGGCCGGGAACGGACGTGTACTGTGAGCGCTGGTCCGACAGCTCCCCTCTGCACTCGCACTCCTCTTCGTCGTCGTCGTGCTCGTCTGTGGACTGCTCGTCTGCACAGCTCTGCGGCAGCATGGTGTGTAGTGTCAATAGGATGCTGTTGAGCTGCACACACCATGCACACAAATACCGTAAAGCACATTCAGGATGGAGAAGGACATCATGCAATTTTTACAATGATCACAGCTCCCATGCAAAGGAAAAAAATGCATATGGGAGCATAGTGACGGTGTGGCTTTTGCTCTCAGCCGGCCCGAGGTATCGGCATCATGGGGACACCTGAGGTCTCGGTGTCATGGGGACATACACGCGATCAAGCACGTACGCTTGCATATGCATACGCACACACCCACATCAACACCCGCACACACACACACACACACACACACACACACACACACACACACACACACACACACACACACACACACACACACACACACACACACACACACACACACACACACACACACACACACACACACACACACACACACACACACACACACACACACACACACACACACACACACACACACACACACACACACACACACACACACACACACACACACACACACACACACACACACACACACACACACACACACACACA